TTCTCTCTCTCGCTCCCTAGCCCAATGACTATTTAAATATTTATACAAAGTGGAACATCTTCAACAGGAGAGACTGAGAGACCTGTTGTGATTATTGGACCTAAAAAGTTATCTTCCACAGTTAAGCTTAGGGTGTGTGAAAAATCATAAAGAACCTTCCATCTAATTGACATGAATTGGGTTTCTGGGCCAAACCTGAGTCTAGGGGACCCTGTCTATCCTTTGTTTCCCTGGCTTATAATGTTAGGAAGTGGGGAATGGGCAGCCAGGGCTATTGGTGAGAGCAGGAGTCAGGCCTAGAGGTTGGAGCAGTAGTTGGGAAATGGAACCAAAGGTCAGAAGCTGGATGCCAGAGCCACGGATCAAACCAGAACCAGAGCTACGAATCAGAACTGAGAATCTGAACTGGAGTCAGAGGCTGAATACCCGAGTCAAGGGTCAAACCAGAACCAGAGCCAGGCATCAAAGTGCAGAGTCAGAACTGGAGTACCTGCAATCAGGGAAGATTTAGTTGGGGATAGGTCCTGTTTTCAGCAGGGGGTTGGACTAGATGACCTCCTGAGGTCCCTTCCAACCCTGATAGTCTATGATTCTATAATACCTGCAATCAGGGAAGGCAGGAACAGAAGTGGGTCCAAGGCAGGAGCAGGGCTGGGACAAGGCAGGGTCTGTCTCAGCAATAGATCAGGCATCCACCTTGCTTCCTGGAACTCCCTCCATCCTTGAATAGTGCACCAGGATCCATCAGAGGTCACATGGGTCTTCTGTGCGTGGTGCTGCCTGTGGTGCCTAGTCTCCCAATGTTTATAGTGCATTGATCATGGCTCTCTCAGGGCTATTAGGTGGTGCCATGGAAGCACCAATCACCTGGAGCCCTGCAGACCTGTATTCTAGCCCATTGGATCCTTACACATAAAGCCATATGCAGGTGAGCTAGACAGAAGCAAGGGTTAATGTACCAGCAGAGCAGTGGCAGACTGAATGGAGGGTGAGCCTTTTGCAGCTTGAAGGACAAGTGGAGTTGTCTTATGATAACGCTCTGTCTGAGCAAGTAGGACATTTCCAGTTACTGCTGCATGCTGTGCCTTGCATATCTGAGTGGTGAACCAATGGAAATGTCAGCAGGGCCACCCAGAGGGGGGGGCAAGTGGGGCAATTTGCCCCGGGCCCCGCAGGGGCCCCCATGAGAATATAGTATTCTATAGTATTGCAACTTTTTTTTATGGAAGGGGCCCCCGAAATTGCTTTGCCCCAGGCCCCCTGAATCCTCTTGGCGGCCCTGAATGTCAGAGCTTCTCAAAGAAAAGGTCACAAGACTCCTTCATACTGGAAGGTGCTAGGGTTGCTACCAGCTCCCCCATAATACATATTACAAATGAAATGTGTAGTATCCTGGTCTATGTTTTACAAAACAATGGTCCAATCCTGCAAACACGTACTACCAGACAGAATGTTTACTGCTGAACATGAGTCCAGCTGAAGTCAATAGGACGACATCTACTAGCAAGCACTAGATGTGGTAGTAAGTGTTTACATGACTGAAACCTAAAAACTGAATTATTTGGGAGGACTTAATTTTGGAGACATGCTAGATGGCTGATGCTGCCAGTAGTAAAATGTCTTTGGAGTTACTAAATCTTCTCTCTACCAAAAGCAGTGCCCTCACAGGGTAGTTCTGTAATATTCTCATTCTGAAGGATAAAGATGAATTTCGCTGAACTGAAAATTCATGGTGGCTTAGGTGCAAGTGATCAGCAGCTGATTGTATCTGTTATGTTCAAACAGAGCCCAACCCCTACCAGCAATGGAGATACGTGATGCTTTCCAAAGGAACAATTCCCCAAAACTGAAAGTCATGAGCAAAACGTATTGAAATGAAAAGTCTGAACAAACTTTGGGAGATTTTTAATAAGTACTAGATGCCCAGAAAAACATAGCTCCATAACTGCAGACCAGGTTTACTGCAGTTAGAAAACCATCTTGGTTAGGAGGCAAAGAGAAGGAATTACACCTATATGTAGTCTCCCTCCCCCCGCTCCCTCCGCTTAGCAAGGGAGCTGTGTCCCAGGACAGCTTGTTGGCTTGCCCTCAATTAATGGGAGGAGGGGAGACAACAGCTGTCACCAGCAGCCAGAGGTGAAAGTAAGCCGGTATGCCCTGGTATGGCATACCGGTAAGAGCCAGTGTGCCGTACCGGATCGGCTTCACTAGGCGGCAATTTAAAGGGCCTGGGGCTCCCAGCAGTGGCGGGAGTCCCTGGCCCTTTAAATCGCTGCCAGAGCCCCCGGCTGCCGCTCTACTCTGGGGCTCTGGCAGCGGGGCTCGGGTGGCGATTTAAAGGGCCCAGGGATCCCACTGCCGCTACCACCCCGGGCCCTTTAAATCGCCACCCGAACCCACTGCTGGAGCCCTGGGGTAGCGGCAGCGAGGCTCCGGCGGTGATTTAAAGGGCTAGGGGCTCCCAGCCACCACTACCGAAGCGGCGCCCCGGGCTCTTTAAAGCTCTGCCAGAGCCTGGAGCCCCAGGGTAGTGGCGGCAGCGGGGAGACCCCAGGGCTCTGTCGGCGATGTAAAGGTCAGGGGCTCCTCTGCAGTAGTGGCGGCCGGGAGCCCCTGGCCTTTAAATCACCGTCGGAGCCCTGGGCCACTGCCATTAACCCGGGGGCTCTGGCAGTGAGGCTCGGGCAGCAATTTAAAGGGCCCGGGGCTCCGGCCGCTGTGGGGAGCCCCGGGCCTTTTAAATTGCCACCTGAGCCCTGCTGCTGGAGCTTTGGGGTAGCGGCAGCGGCGCTCCAGAGGTGATTTAAAGGGCCCGGGGCTCCCAGCTGCTGCTACCATAGCGAAGCCCCAGGCCCCTTAAAACTCTTCCAGAAGTGTTATTTACTCCTTCTCATAACACAAGAACTAGGGGTCACCAAATGAAATTAATAAGCAGTAAGTTTAATACAAACAAAAGGAAGTATTTCTTCACACAACACACAGTCAACCTGTGGAACTCCTTGCCAGAGGATGTTGTGAAGGCCAAGACTATAACAGCGTTCAAAAAGGAACTACATACGTTCATGGAGGATAGGTTCATCAATGGCTATTAGCCAGCATGGGCAGGGATGGTGTCGGTAGCTTCTGTTTTTCGAAGCTGGGAATGGGCGACAGGGGATGGAGCACTTGATGATTCCATGTTCTGTTCATTCCCTTTGGGGCACCTGGCACTGGCCACTGTCAGAAGACAGGATACTGGGCTAGATGGATTATTGGTCTGACCCAGAATGGCTGTTCTTGTGTTCAGATTTCTGCTCTGTACAATGGGATTAATGATGCTTCCCTCTTTGAGATCTGATGAAAAGAGCTAGCTATTATCATTATTACCTGGCCACCATAGCATCTTAGCTGCACACTCACATGATAATTACAGCTGCCTAAATAACCACTGCCTCCTACCAACAATATTTCTCTTTCTGTTAAAAAAAAAAAAAACAGGAAATTCACTGACAAAAACCTTCATTAGTACAGTGAAAATTGACCAGTGGTCTGATGTGCCCTTCCAGAACACCGAGTTTAGCATAACTCAGGCTTATGAAATCCAGGAAACACAGAGTTACATGCCCATGCAGGATACACACTCGTGCAATCTTAACTCTCCCCAATATGAGTGAGGCCCCAATATGACCATAACACATATTTGCATACTGCTTTTGCCCTGTACTGAACAGGAGCTACAAACACCTGCCCGGCACTCACACACTTCACGTACTCCACAGAAAGAACATCACAGCTGCTAAATGTTAAAACCCTTTCACCCTTATGCACACAATGTCATCTCACACTGTACTGTCACTTACCCTTCACTGAACAGACAGACCACAATCTTGAGGTCAGAGCTGTGACCTTGTCCCCGGGGGTCCTGCGCTTTTAGGCGGTATGCGCTAGCCTCAGTGGCTCTCTGTGACCCTCCACATAGCCCTTCTCTCTCTAGGGCCAGGGTTACAGTCTACTGAGCCCTTTTCATCATAAGCCAGCAAGGAAGTTGGTGAGAGAACTCCCACAGTCTCTGTTGTCCCTAGGGCTTGTTTTAGAACAGTTTAGCCTCCTGTCCTGACAGGGGCCTGACTTCCCCTCCCAGGAGGAGTTCCTGTAGTGGTGGGTTGGGGGGAACCCAGGCCCGCTCTCTACTCTGGGTTCCGGCCCAGGGACCCTAATGGTAGCAGCTGTTGGCAGCCAACCTTTCACTGCCAGAGTTGCTACATTTCCCTGGACCACTTCCCCACAGCTCTCCTGCTTCTCACTTACCTTAGGGCTCCCTTATCAATAACTTGAGGGTGTCTTCATTAACCAGCCCTTCAGCCACACTTCCGCTCCCTGGCTCTCCCCTGCCTGACTGGAGTGAGCCCTTTTTATATATCAGCGGGGCCTTAATTAGAGTCAGGTGGTCACATTAGCTTAATGGCCTCACCTGACTCTTTGCAGGTTAATTGGAGTCAGGTGTTCTCATTAGCCTGGAGCAGCCCCTGCTCTGGTCAGTCAGGGAACAGAAAACTGTTAATCCAGTGGCCAGTATATCTGCCTTCTGCTATTCTGCTATACCCAACTGGCCTGGGTCTATCACACTACATACAACAAATAACTTTCTGGGGGGCAGAGGGCATGTGAGGGTGTAGCAGAGGTAAAAGGGAGAGGATGGGCATATGGGAACAAATTCGGGAGGAAAACAAGGGAAAGAGGTAGGGAAGAAGGATAGAGGCAATGGTGGGGTGCAGTGATATTGCAGGGCAGGTGGCATTATTGGCAGTGGGGTGGGTTGTTTATGCACAGTGATTGAAGTAGGATTTAGAGTCCAAAATGGGAAATCCAAAAGGTTCGTTATAACATGGCAGGTTGGGAAGATTCTGGCCCCTGGCTCCCTGCTGTTGGCTGATGATGGCTACAGTTGCTTCCAGTGGGATAAGCCTTTTACACGTTGTCCTGGAGGCTGCCCCAATGGTACAGGCCCCTTCCTCCATAGATCAGTGAGAGGTGGGAGCTGCTGGGCCTCGGTCATTATTCTTACAACCAGGTCTCTTCAACATGTTTTGAAGTCTAGTAGTCCTAGCCTCTTTCTTGGGTGTCTTTTGTTTTGCCATGTACTTTCTCAGTTTTTCTTCAATCTTCATGTACTTTTCTTCTGTTCCTCCATCCACCATACGCTCCACCTCAGAATACAGCTCATTGGTGTAGCATCTGCCTCCATTCTCCTCCAACATTCTCTCAGTTATTTCCATCAGCTCATTAACCTGCTCCTCCCTCTCTGCTCCAGTTGCTTTGTTGTTGAAAGCGCAGTATCGGTTCTCACACCTTTTAATCAGCTTCTTAAGATTTTTGTTATCTGACTTTCTCACATAGTGCCTCAGTGAGTCACCCCCTAAATCTTCTTTCCGGGTGAACAGGACAATCATGTGTCTCATGGCTTCAACTCCAAAAATCTCCCACACTCGCTTCACTGCTTCCTTGTCTTCTTCAGTGTAACGGCCCAGCTGAGTCACCAGCACCAGAGCGTGGGGGCCTGGGGCAGAGAGCGCGATACAGCGACTGATCTCTCGATAGGTTTCTGTGTCACTGGCCTCTGGAGAAAATACATCAGGCGTATCGATAACCACAACCTCCTTCCCATTCCAGATCATGCTCCCTCTCCTGCAAGTCTCCGTTACTGGCTTTGCCCCCAGTTTGGACTCAAACACTTTGTTGCCAAGGATGGTGTTTCCCGTTGCACTTTTCCCAGCTCCTTCTTTACCAACAAGGATTAATTTTAATTTGATGTGGCTGCTTTCTTGTGCACCTGTTGGGAAGAATTTGGACAGATTTACTATGTTATTGCATGTATAATAAAGTAAGTTTAAGATTTCTCTTAATTAAAAAAATATATCTATATAAACTCATTAAAACTACAGGCTGCCGGAGTTGCAAGATTTGGGTCTGGATTTTAAACCTCCCTGTGTTTGGATTCAAATCAGAATTCAGGTCCAGGTCACTGGAGCATCCCAGTGCTTTGATACAAATGGATTTTAAGTCACATGTGAAAGGTGCTGCTCTCACCACTATGGTGTCAGAGCTGAGCAGCCAGTTGGCATTTGACATCATCACAGAACTGTGACACAAAAATATGACAGCATCTTCGGAATACGAGAGCAGAAACAACGGAGGATGTGGTGTGTTAGCATTGACCTGCATTGACTGAGATTTCTGAGGACTCACAAAAGGAATCAAAGGGGATTTAGCACTTACATAGTGTATCACTATTTCCATTAATAGTTGTGTGGGGTCACAGGTGTACATGGCTAGAAGAGGTAATCTAGGGTAATCTAGTGTGAACTCCTGTATAATGCAAGGCAGAGAATTTCAGCCAGTTACCTTTGTATTGAGCCCAGTAACGTGTGTTTACCTAAAGCATGTTCCAGAAAGGCACCAGTCTCGATCTGAAGTTATTGAGAAACGAGGAATTCCCCACTTCCACTGGGAGCTTGTTCCAATGGTTAATTACACTCACTGTCGAAGGTGTGCCTGATTTCTGAACTGAATTTATCTGGCTTTAACTTTCAACAATTGGTTCGTGTTCTGCTAGATTAAAGTGATACACAGTAATTTCTCCAAATGAATGTATTTATACCCTGTAAGCAAGTCACTTCTTGATACTAATTTCGATAAACTAAACAGATTGAGTCTTTAAATCTCTCACTGTAAGGCATTTCTCCAGCCCTCAAATCCCTGTTGTAGCTCTTTGCTGCACCCTCAGCCACTTTATAACATCCGTTTTTTAATGTGAACACTAGAACTGGATGCATTTTTGATGAGATTACAAGTTTAGTTGATAAAAGAAACTGTATGATGTATTATCCTTAGGCTTCTGTAAGGCATTGGACTTGGTATTGCATGGCATTCTCATTAAAATACTAGAATTATACAACATTGCAGCACATGTTAAATGGATTAAAATCTGGTTAACTGACAGATCTCAAAAAGGAGTTTTTAATGGTGAATCATCATCAGATGGGAGTGTTTCTGAGGAGTTTTTGTGAGAACTGGGTGTAGGCCCAACATCATTTGATACTTATATTCAGTATCTAGCAGTAAATATAAAACCATTTAGATAAAATGTGTGGATGACACAAAGATTGGTGGAGTCATAAAAAATGATGAGCCCTACACAGCAATCTGTTGCACTAGGAAACCTGGGCCTATTCAGACAAAATGCATTATAATACAACCAAGAATCTAGGAACAAGGACTCTAGGAACAATCTAGGAAAGCAGTGACTCTGAAAACGATTATGGGGTCATAGTGGGCAACCAACTGAACACGAACTCCCAGTCCGACGCTGTAGCAAAAAATGGGCTAATGTGATCCTTGGATGTATAAACAGGAATAGGGAACAGGCATAGGGAGGTGATTTTACCTGTGCTTACAGCATTTCTCAAACTGATACTGGAATAGTGTATCCAGTTCTGGTGTCACCTTTTTTTTTTTTTTTTAAAGTTGAAAAATGGTAGAGGGTACAAAGCACTACCAAAATGATACAAGGAGTGGAGAAAATGGCAGATGTTAATGACTTAAAAACCTCTAAGGATGGAGATTCCACCGCCTCCCTAGCATTCCAGTGCTTCACCACCCTCTTAGTGAAATAAAGTTTCCTAATATTCAACCTAGACCTCCCCCACTGCAACTTGAGACCATTGCTCCTTGTTCTGTCATCTGCCACCACTGAGAACAGCCGAGCTCCATCCTCTTTGGAACCCCCCCTTCAGGTAGTTGAAGGCTGCTATCAAATCCCCCGTCACTCTTCTCTTCTGCAGACTAAACAAGCCCAGTTCCCTCAGCCTCTCCTCGTAAGCCATGTGCCCCAGCCCCCTAATCATTTTCGTTGCCCTCCGCTGGACTCTCTCTAGTTGTCACCATGCTTTCTGTAGTTGGGGGGGGGGTCCCCAAAACTGGACCAAATACTCCAGATGTGGCCTCACCAGTGGCGAATAGAGGAGAATAATCACTTCCATCGATCTACTGGCAATGTTCCTACTAACGCAGCTCAATATGCCGTTAGCCTTCTTGGCAACAAGGGCACACTGTTGACTCATCTCCAGCTTCTCATCCACTGTAATCCCCAGGTCCTTTTCTGCAAAACTGCTGCTTAGCCAGTCAGTCCCCAGCCTGTAGCGGTGCATGGGATTCTTCCTTCCTAAGTGCAAGACTCTGCACTTGTCCTTGTTGAACCTCATCAGATTTATTTTGGCCCAATCCTCTGATTTGTCTAGGTCACTCTGGACCCTATCCCTACCCTCCAGTGTATCTACCTCTCCTCCCAGCTTAGTGTCACTGTGAACTTGATGAAGGTACAATCCATCCCCTCATCCAGATCATAAATTAAGATGTTGAAGAAAACCAGCCCCTGGGGCACTCCACTTGATACCGGCTGCCAACTTGACATCAAGCTGTTGATCACTACCTGTTGAGCCCCACAATCTAGCCAGCTTTCTATCCACCTTGTAGTCCATTTATTGAATCCATACTTTTTTAACTTGCTGGCAAGAATACTATGGGAGACCGTATCAAAAGCTTTGCTAAAGTCAAGATATATCACATCCACCGCTTTCCCCATATCCACAGAGCCAATTATCTCACCATAGAACGCAGTCGGGATGGCCAGGCATGACTTGCCCTTTTTGAATCCACGTTGATTGTTCCTGATCACATTCCTCTCCTCCAAGTGCTTCAAAATGGATTCCTTGCGGACCTGCTCCATGATTTTGCTGGGGATTGAGGTGAGACTGACTGGTCTGTAGTTCCCTGGGTTCTCCTTCATCCCCTTTTAAAAGATGGGCGCTATATTTGCCTTTTTCCAATCGTCCAGGACCTCCCCCAATCACCACAAGTTTTCAAATATAATGGCCAATGGCTCTGCAATCCCATCAGCTAACTCCCTGAGCACCTTCAGACGCATTAGATCCGGCCCCATGGACTTGTGCATGTCCAGTTTTTCGAAATAGCCCTTAACCTGTTCTTTCACCACTGAGGGCTCCTCACCTCCACCCCATAATGTGCTGCCAGTGCAGCAGTCTGGGAGCTGACCTTGTCTGTGAAGACCGAGGCAAAAAAAGCATTGAGTACTTCAGCTATTTCCACATCCTCTGTCACTAGGTTGCCTCCCGCATTCGGTAAGGGTCCCACATTTTCCCTGACCTTCTTCTTGTTGCTAACGTATCTGTAGAAACCCTTCTTGTTACCCTTCACATCCCTTGCTAGCTGTAACTCCAATTGTGCTTTGGCCTTCCTGATTACACCCCTGCATGCTTGAGCAATATTTTTATACTCCTCCCTAGTCATCTATCCAAGTTTCCACTTCTTGTAAGCTTCCTTTTTGTGTTTAAGGTCACTGAAGATTTCACTGTTAAGCCAAGCTGGTCGCCTCCCATATTTGCTATTGTTTCTGTACATCAGGAGGGTTTGTTCCTGCGCCCCCAATAAGGCTTCTTTAAAATACAGCCAGCTCTCCTGGACTCCTTTCCCCCTCCTATTAGTCTCCTAAGGGATCGTGCCCATCAGTTCCCTGAGGGAGTCAAAGTATGCTTTGTTGAAATCCAGGATCCGTATTCTGCTGCTCTCTTTTCTTCCTTTTGTCAGGATCACCAACTTGACCATCTTATGGTCACTGCTGCCCAGGTTGCCACCCAATTCTACTTCCCCTACCAATTCTTCCCTATTTGTGAGCAGCAGGTCAAGAGGAGAATGGCCCCTAGTTGATTCCTCCAGCACTTGCACCAGGAAGTTGTCCCCAACACTCTCCAAAAACTTCATGGATTGTCTGTGCACCGCTGTACTGTTTTCCCAGCAGATGTCAGGGTGATTCAAGTCCCCCATTAGAACCAGGGTCTGTGATCTGGAAACTTCTGTTAGTTGTCCAAAGAAAGCCTCGTCCACCTTCTCCTGCTGGTCTGGTGGTCTACAGCAGATCCCTTTCACTTCCAGTGGAAAACGTATGAAGCTCACTGTGTTGAACTTACCAACAGAAGATTGAGAGGTGACTAGAGTACAAGTACCTTCACGCAGAGAAAATACCAGGTACTAAAGGGCTCTGTAATGTACCAAAGACCAAGATCAAACCAGTATCTTAGATGCCTATATACAAATGCGAGAAGTATGGGTAATAAGCAGGAAGAACTGGAAGTGCTAATAAATAAACACAACTATGACATTGTTGGCATCACTGAAACTTGGTGGGATAATACA